AGACAGCAGATTGGAGTGTTCCGTGCATGGACTTGAGCCCGCTTGCAATTGGCCGGATTTTGTATAAAAGCTGTGTGCTGATGAAGGAGGGTGCTTTTCTTTCCACTCTCCTCCCTTCATTCTTTCTCTGTTGCTGTTATTTTCTTATTAAAAGTCTACTGAAGACCGATAAGCTGCGAGCAGTGTCGTTCCTTTGCGGGCAAGGGAGCGACAACGGAGGATTAGCCTAGTGAGCTGTGGCGCTGGCCTCTATGCCTTTCTTTCTGTCACTGTCTATAACTCTACCTATCAAGTAAATTAAAAAAAAAAAAAGTAAGTCCGTAGGAATGTATGCAGAACTGTACTGCTTTGCAGTTGCAAACTTCATACATTTCACAGTTACAACTTTTGAATCTTGATAATTCTCTCCACTGTGCGCACCCTCCCACCCCTGTCCTCTTCCCTTTCTTATTCTCACTCTTATTTTTACGAAGATCTATTTTCAGTTAACTTTATACATATATGGTTAACTATTTTAAGTAAAGAGTTCAGTGATTCATATGAAAGATAAAAGATAAGTAAAATATTTTAAAGGAAAAGAAAAGATAAACAAAAATCTAGAATAAGAAGCTGTTCCTCAGCAATCAAGAGAAGGGCTGTTCATAATCATTGCTTCTCAAAATATCAGTTTCCTTCCTACTTGTTGCCTTTTAGATGCTCTATTAGTTATCACAGTTCAGGGAGAACATATGGTATTTGTCCCTTTGGGACTGGCTTATTTCACTCAGCATGATGTTTCCCAGTTTCATCCATTTTGTTGCAAATGACCCGGCTTTTTTTTGTTTGTTTTGGTTTCTTTTACTGCTGTGTAATATTCCATGGTGTACATATCTCATAATTTCTTTATCCACTTTTCAGTTGACTGGCATTCAGTTAATTCCATGTCTTTGCTATTGTGAATTGAGCTGCAATAAACATTAAGGTACAGATAGCTCTTTCATATGCTGATTTCATTTCTCTTGGGTAGATTCCAAGGAGTCGGATGGCTGCATCATATGGTAGGTCTGTATTCAGACCTCTGAAATATCTCTGCACTGTCTTCCATAGTGGCTTTACCAGTTTACATTCCCATGAACAGTGGATTAGGGTACCTTTTTCCCCACATCCTTGGCAGCATTTGTTGTTTGTGGATTTCTGTGTAAAAGCCATTCTAATGGGGGCGAGGTGAAACCTCATTGTGGTTTTGATCTGTTTTTCTCTGATGGCTAGCAATCCTACGCATTTTTTCATGTGTCTGCTGGCCATCTGGGTCTCCTCTTTTGAAAAATATCTGTTTAAGTCCTTTGCCCATTTTTTAACTGGATGGTTTGTTTTATTGTTGTTGAGTTTCTTGAACTCTTTATATATTCTGGTTATGAGTCCTTTATCAGTTGTGTAGTTTGAGAATATATTCTCCCATTCTGTTGGTTGTCTCTTTACTTTGCTGATTGTTTCTTTCACAGTGCAGAAGCTTCTAAATTTGATGTAATCCCATTTGTTGATTTTGGCTTTGACTGCCTGTGCCTCCGGGATCTTTTCTAAGAACGTTTGTCTGTGCCAATGTCTTATAGGGTTTCTCCAATGTTCTTTAATAATTTGATGGCTTTGGGTCATAGATTTAGGTCTTTAGTCCATTTTGAGTGGATTTTGGTTAAAGGTGTCAGAGAGGGATCTTGGTTCACACTTCCTCATGTGGTGATTCAGTTTTCTCAGCACCATTTGTTTAAGAGACTGTCCTTGCTCCAGGGATTGATTAGCTCCTTTGTTAAAGAAAACTTAATTGTTGATGCTTGTATTGATTTCAGGTATTTATTCTGTTCCATTGCTCTTTCCATCTGGCTTTGTACCAATACCAGGCTGTTCTGATTATAACTGCCTTGTAGTATGTCTTGAAATCTGGTATTGTGATGCCTCCAGCTTTGTTTTTGTTGTATAAGATTATGTTAGCTATTTGGGGGTCTCCTGTGTTTCCATATGAATTTCAGTATCATTTTTTCTATATCTGCAAAGAATGTCTTTGGTATTTTCATTAGTATTGCATGAATTTGTAAATTGCTTTTGTTGATATTGATTCCTCCAATCCATGAACATGGAAGATTTTTCCATTGTTTTTGTATCTTCTGTTTCTTTCTTTAATGTTTTGTAATTCTCATTATAGAGATCTTTGACATCCTTGGTTTATTCCAGGATTTTTTTTTTTTTTTTTTTTTGGTAGCTATTGTGAATGGGATTGATCTTAGAAGCTCTTTCTCAGCTGTGGCATTGTCTGCATATACAAAGGCTGTTGATTCTTTGTGTTGATTTTATATCCTGTTATATTTCCAAACTCTTCTGTGAGTTCCAATAGTCTGTTAGTGGAGTCTTCTTGATCCTCTATAGGCTTATGTCATCTTCAAAAAGGGATAGTTTGACTTATTCCTTCCAAATTTGTACCCCTTTGAGTTCTTTTTCTTGTCTATTGGCTCTGGCTAAAACTTCCAGGACTATATTGAAAAGCAGTGGTGAGAGTGGGTACCCTTGTCTGATTCTGGATCTCAGTGGGATTGCTTTCAACTTTTCCTTGTTCAATAGGATGCTTGCTATGGGTTTGTCATAAATTGTCTTGGTTGGGTTGAGAAATGTTCCTTCTATTCCCAATTTGCTTAGAGTTTTCATCAAGAAAGAGTGTTGGACTGTTTTGTTTTCGCTGGGTTTCCTCTGCAAATTTCCCATGGCTTTATCTTAGGTGTGTAGTTTCTACCCCTAAATATTAATTTTGCCCCGTGTGATTTAACATTTAAATATTAATTTTGCCCCATACGTCCTGTTTCTATTGTACCATTTTTAGAACCACTTTCCAGAGATTTCTGTTAACTACTACAAATCCATGCCTCCGAGGCCTGCCTTATGTAGTATCATGGGGTTGTCCTTCCCTGTGTCTGCATCAAAGAGGAACAGAACTATTCATTTTTCCAGATGTACTTTTGCTTGTATTATTTCTCTTTTTATAGCATTTGTATTTTAATCTTTTTTTTAGATTTATTTATTTATTTGAATGTCAGAGTTACATAGAGAGAGAAGGAGAGGCAGAGAGAGAGAGAGGTCTTCCATCCACTGGTTCACTCCCCAGTTGGCTGCAGCAGCCGGAGCTGCTTTGATCCGAAGCCAGGAGCCAGGAACTGCTTCTGGGTCTCCCACACGGGTGCAGGGGCTCAAGGACTTGAGCCATCTTCCACTGCTTTCCATGCCATAGCAGAGAGCTGGGTTGGAAGTGTAGCAGCTGGGACTAACCGGAAGCCATATGGGATGCTGGCACTTCAGACTGTGGCTTTACTTGCTGTGCCACAGCGCTGGCCCCTTAATCTTTCTTTTAACAGTTAATTCCAGAATTCTGGGGTAGTCCTGTCCAGTTAAAATAAGTTTAGGTCGAAGAAAGGAGTTTTCATGTAGCCACCATACAATAATGTTCTTGACCTTCAGAAATCGTTGTGTTTGTGTTAGATGCTTCATGTGCTTTGGCTATTTGAGAGTTGTGGACTTAGTTTTCTACAGCAACCATATGGATAATATCACTTAGTAATTTGAGCCGGATGTAATAGTTTTGGACTTCAGTATAGTCATGTTTAGTTTTCAGTTCTGTAGCTGGTATTTGGCTTTAATATTGGCACAATAATAGAAAGGGGACTTTGGAGATCTGGAAAGTTCCTGACTCTTCTAATGGACCATCTGCCCCCTAGTTCTATTGTCTTTTAGGGGCATGGGCCCTATATTGCCAGATTTCCTGAGTGTTCAGGAGTAACATGGTTGTTGGCTATCATTTTTTTGGTCTGTGTTTTATTTCTTTGTGAGCAGGCTACCTTAATAAAAGCCTGAGTGGGAAATAAATGTCCAGTTAGTGTTTGGTGCTTCTATGTCTCTGGTAGATGGTAGATGGGTGGCATCTCTGCTCATGTGGTTTGTGGCAGCTAAGTAAACCTGGTATTCTAGTATGAAAGGACAGACAGATGATTTGTATAAGGAAGACTACAAAGATAAACCTTTTCCTCTCTATCTTAGGTTGGCTATGTAAAATCAGTGTATTGTGAATTTTCTTGGTTCTGTGATAACAGCCTATTCCATTAAATAGATAATTTGGCAACATGTCTGGAAAATCTTAGAATTTTTTTAAGATTTATTTATTTATTAGCGAGCGAGAGAGAGACAGAATATCTTCCATGCACTAGTTCACTCCCCCAAATGGCCAGGGATGAGCTGGGCTGGCCCAAGGCCAGGAGCTGGGAGCTTCTGGGTTTCCCACATGGGTGCAAGGGCCCAAGAAGTTGATCCATCCTCTGCTGCTTTCCTAGGCACATTACCAGGGAACTGTATTGTACGTGGAGCAGCCACTTGTTGGGCACCCAGATGTGCTGCCTCTGTTGCAAGTGGCAGCTTTATTTGCTATGCTGGCCCTTGGGAAATCTTAAGAACTCAAGTGTGTCTTAAATTCAGGACCTTTTCCCCTTTTGCCTTCTTTTGTTTTCATCATTGTTGGATTTTTTTCTCCCTTTCTTTTTTTCTCTCTTCTTCCCTCCCCCCTGCCTTCTTTTTTACAGTATGAATTTATGGTCCTTCTATGATGTATAGCATTTTCTGGGCATTGTGTGCATTTGGATTTATAAAAATGTGGGTTCAGATTTCGAAGAATTCACAATCTAGCCTAGACCAATTCATGAAATGAATGGAGAATTCAGGGAATTTATGTAAGAAGAAATATTTTTATAATGCTTACATATTTAGGTTTGGGGTTATGTGTAAATTATAGCATGATAAAGTAGATGACAAACTCCTTAATGTCAGGACTCCAGTTTCTCTGCCAGTGCACATTTCTGGAGACATGAAGTTGGTAGAACCCTTAGTTACTCAAGGTCCTTTTTAGCATGGCAGTCTAAAAAATGTCACGTAACTCTGAACGTAGTTTTTCTCAGCCACAAGTCCTTTGCTTTGAACTTATGATTCTTCCGTAGGATGGAATCTTTAAGATGAGCCTGTCTCCAGATGGGAGCCTTCTTGCCGCCATTCACTTCTCTGGGAAACTGAGCATCTGGGCCATCCCATCTCTGAAGCAACAGGGAGAGTGGAGTCAACATGAGCAGGTGTGTGTTTTGGTTGTGACTATACTTGGCATGATGCTGTAGTAAAGGGTGAGTACTGGCAATACTAATTTCATTTTGTTGATGGCTTACTGTAGCACACAGCTGTTATATATTCTGATCATTCCAATGCTGTCCTTTTAGTTAATTGTACTATCAGTATCTGAGGAAAAAGAAGAATACTATGTGTTGATTTTAATATGTAGTGCAGAATAATCTGAATACTGACAGTAATCTGCTCATTGAACCTTTAATTTTTTCCTATTTGACATTCCCAAAATACCAAATGTAGATTTTAACATTTCAACAAGTCACTCTGACCAAGGATTTGAAGGGTCAACTTCCCAAAGAGGATATGGTTTTCCCCCCAATCTTGCAGTGCTAGGAATCCGGTGCTTACTTAAGGCTTGAAGAGAGTTACCTTCTCTTCACTCAGAAGTGGGTAGCTAAGAGATAAGAGATACAGAAAGAATTCTTTGATTTTTTTTTTTTTTTGTGCCATGCCTTTTTTTTTTTTTTTTAAAGCTTTATTTATTTGAAAGTCAGAGTTAGAGAAGGGAACAGGGGGGAGAGAGAGAGAGATATCTTCCATATCTTTCATCTGTTGGTTCAGTCCCTAGATGGCTGTTTTGGCCTGGGTTGGGCAGGGTTTAATCTAGGAACCAGAAACTTTATCCAGGTCTCCCATGTGGGTTACCTTCCCAGGCCATTAGCAAGAAGTTTGATTGGAAAGAGCAGCCTAGACATGAACCAACATCCTATGCTTTGCAGGCAGCAGCTCTACTTGCTACACAACATGGGCCCAAAATGCCATGTTTTAAGGATTAGGTGATTTTGTTGTTTCATTACAAGTAGAATCAACTACTGTTATAATGTAAATTCACAAAAGGAAAGTAAATTCTGTTCATACAAAGCCAGGTATTAGCACGGAGTGAAGGCTTGAAAAAAAACTTGACTCAGCTGGGTATAGCTTATGTTATAAAGCTGTTACTCTCTGATTAGTTTGCATTTCAAAAAGATTTATTTATTTTACTTGAATGTCAGAGTTACACAGAGAGAGAAAAAGAGGCAGAGAGAGAGGGAGGTCTTCCATCTGCTGGTTCACTCCCCAATTGGCTGCAATGGCCAGAGCTGCGCAAATCCGAAGCCAGGAGCCAGGACCCAGGAGCTTCTTTTGGGTCTCCCATGTGGGTGCAGGGGCCCAAGGGCTTGGGCCATCTTCTGTTGCTTTCCCAGGCCATAGCAGAGAGCTGGATCGGAAGTAGAGCAGCCAGGACTTGAACTGGCCATCATATGGGATGCTGGCACTTCAGGCAGTGGCTTTACCCACTACGCCACAGCACTGACCCCTGCATTTCAACTCTTTAAGGGTTAATTTTCCTTCCCTCTGTACTGCCTCTACCTCTTAGGCATATCCGTGTCTGGTAGATATATTTTTCTAAAAATTTGTATATATATATTTTATTTGAATGAAGTGGAGAGAGACAGAAACTCAGACAGACAGACAGAGATCTTCACGTGCTGTTTCATTTCCCAAATGCCCATATCAGAGCTGGGGCTGAGTGAGGCTGAAGCCAGTAGCCTGGAATTCAGTCTGGTTCTCCTATTTGTGTGACAGGCTCCCAAGTGTTTGAGCCATCTACTACCTGATCCCACACAGGGTGCACATTAGTAGGCAGCAGAAGTAGAGAGTGGAGGGTGGAGCTAGGACTTGAACCCATGGACTCTGATATGGGATATGGGCATCCTGAGCGGTGTCTTAACTGCTGGTGCTAACACCTGCGTCTAGTGGGTAGTTTCATGTTTTTGAGATTGGACTGTATTTCCTGAGTGCTCTGAATGGATCAATGTCCTGGTTAAGAGATGTATTAATAAGCAAACAGCATGCTTTTGTAGAAAAGCAGAGGAAGAGAGAAAGTAGCTCTGTACTTTATTACTCTACTCACAGATTTAAATGTATTTGTAGTAGCTATTCTTAATTTTTTATTTTATTATCTTATACACAGGTTTAGGTAGTTTCTCTCCCTCTTTGTTACCATTTGCCTTCCACTTGAAATGATGTGCAAACTGACCTACCACTTCTCCCTGGATCTGGATTTCTTCTAAATAGAAGAGGTGGTCCTCAGCCTACATCCTTTGGTGCAAAACACAGGGAACATTCTTTCTCTTTGCTCTGAAATCACAGCTAACTTGACTGACTTTTTGTCTCTCCAAGTGGAGAGGATCCCCTTTAATACTGTTGAATGTGTTTAGCTGGGACCCTCAGACAGCACCACTTGCACCTGCTGAGCGTGTAGAGTAGTTGGGATTCTTCTTGGGCTGCCTGGATTTGAGTCCTGCCTCTGCTGCTGCTCAGTTTCCTGCTGATGCCTGCTGTGAGAGGCAGCAGGTGGTGACTCAGTTACCTGGGACTCTGACCCCCACGTGGAAGATGCACCTTGGGCTCCCAGCTCCTCGCTTTGGCTTGGTCCAGCCCAAACTATTGTGGGTATTTGGGGGAGTGAATCAGCATATTAGAGATCTCTATCTGTCCCTCTGTCTGTCATATAAAGAAAATTAAAAAAAAAAGTTAATTTACATGGAATATAATTCATATTATACTTCCTAAAGGATGATGTGTTAGTTCTGTATTTTGTATCCATATTCAAAATAAAGACATTATTTAGATAATTACTCCAAAATATGCTATTTATTTTTCACAGCAGTTTGTGGTGATAAAGTATTCAGTTTCTTTTATTTGGAAAGATCCTGTTCTTTCTGTATCTGGGAAATTTTACATTTGAGCAACATTTTTTTAATGGTAAAAACTTTGAATAAAAAAGGCATTTTCTGGGCTGGCGCTGTGGCTCAACAGGCTAATTCTCTGCCTTGCGGCGCTGGCACCCCAGGTTCTAGTCCTCGTCAGGGTGCCAGATTCTGTCCCAGTTGCCCCTCTTCCAGGCCAGCCCTCTGCTGTGGCCCGGGAGGGCAGTGGAGGATGGCCCAAGTACTTGGGCCCTGCACCCCATGGGAGACCAGGAGAAGCACCTGGCTCCTGCCTTCGGATCAGCGCAATGCACCTGCTGCGGCGTGCCAGCCACAGCAGCCATTGGAGGGTGAACCAACAGCAAAGGAAGACCTTTCTCTCTGTCTCTCTCTCTCACTGTCCACTCTGCCTGTCAAAAAAAAAAAAAAAAAAAAAGACATTTCCCCCTCTCTTTTCTGTTTTCTTAAATAATTTTGACTTACCTAGTAGAAATATTGATAAACTACTGAAGCACTCTTTATATTTCCTCTTGTGAGTATCTTAGAATGTCATATGTTCAGTATAAGAGTTACAACAAAATTGATTAGTTTGTACTTTTGTTTACTGGATTTCTAGACAACCTTTTTTTTTTTTTTTTGGCCTGTAAAGAAAAATTGCATTCTATTTTGCTCCTTATTGGCATACCTCCAACTTTTTGATTAGTTAGATATATTTTTCCTTTTTTTGGTCACTAGTTTCCAATCAATGCCATTATGATTCATTACTCTTTGATGTTAGAGTAGCTCTACTGAAAAGTAAGAACATTAGGAACAGATGTTTGGTCTGCCAGATAAGCTGCCAGTTGGTGCACCACATCTCGTATCAGAGTGCCTGGGCTTGAGTGCCAGCCCCACCTCTTTTCCTGATTCCAGGTTCCTGCTGCTGCGCACCATGAGAGGCAGCAGGTGGTGAATCAGGTAATTGAGTTCTTGCTGCCCACGTGAGCGACCCAAAGTGTGTTCCTGGCTCCTGGCTTCAGCTTGATGAGAACTTGCTGCTGCCACCATTTGGGGGAGTGAACCAGTAGATACGTGGGAGCTCGCTCTCTGCCTCTCAAATAAATGATTGATGTTAGTTTAAAAATCTCAGAATTTATTTAAAAATCTTGAAATCCAATAATGCATAATTATCTTAGTAGTTTGAAACATGCAATCAGGAAATTGATGGAACAGGAAAAGAAGGGATTTCAGAAATGGACAGTGGTACATGGTGGTAGGACAGGAGTTCAGGCTCGAAGCTTGTCTCCATTGAAGCCTTATGAGCGTCTCCGAGTAGAAATACCTTGAGGCTTTCAAAGGGCAGTTCACAAGGAGCTGCTATGGCTTGACTACCGAGCATCCACCTCTGGTGGCACTGATTTTGTGTTTCCCAGCCAGTCTTCAGATACGGCATTTGTTAATTAGAGAATGCAACCTGATTCTCAATTTAGTGCTATCTATGTCCTATTAAACATTTTTGGTGTTATGTGATAGTTTCCTCCAATTTGACTGGTATGCATTATTTCCTCCAGTATTTCATTATAGGAAATGTGAGATTTCAGTTTGCACAAAACTGAAAACCGTGGCGTGGTTGTTGTCACTAAGGATGTAGTGCAGGTTGTGGTGTCCTCTCCAAGGTTGTGATGGTTCAGCTATAGCTCCTAAACCAGATCCTGCTTTGATTGCTCTTCCCACTGCAGCTTAGCACACTGCCTGTTTCAGTTCCTCATGCCACGGACCAGTGACTGGCTGTCCCTGCCTTTTCACGCTGTGGCTTTGCACGTGGAGAGACTACCGCAAACAGAGTCTGCCCCTGAGACCCAGGCAGTATGAGCTTCAAAATAAATTTTGGTTCAAAGTTGGGAACATGGAAGGCATTTATTTTTATCCTTTTTTTTTTTTTAATCCTAAGGCTATGGTGAAAATGGAAACTCTTCTTTTACCTGTCATCTCTTCTATCTGATCATGACACTGCTTTAGTCCCTGGGCCCACCCCTCTGTGCTCCCTGTTTCTGTCTACTATACCTTTTTTTTTTTTTTTTTTGACAGGCAGAGTGGACAGTGAGAGAGAGACAGAGAGACAGAAAGGACTTCCTTTGCCATTGGTTCACCCTCCAATGGCCACTGCGGCCGGTGCGCTGCGGCCAGTGCACCGTGATCCTAAGACAGGAGCCAGGTGCTTTTCCTGGTCTCCCATGGGGTGCAGGGCCCAAGCACTTGGGCCATCCTCCACTGCACTC